CTCACCCGGCCACTCTCGAGGTGCTCTCTCCGCCGAACGGGGCGCCCCGAGAGGTCTTGATCGGCAGATGGCAGCTGCACGCCCCCCGCCGGAGGAGGAGGAGGGGGAGGAGAAGGAGGAGGAGGAGGAGGAGGAGGAGGGGGAGGGGGAGGGGGAGGAGGAGGAGGAGGAGGGAGGAGGAGGAGGAGGAGGAGGACGAGGAAGATTCAAAAGAATCGCGATAGAATACGACGGTTGCCGCACAGTCAGCAAGGCGGGGGGCCTTTCGGTGCAGCGGGCAGGGCCCTCTTCCGGGGCCTTCCGGCCAGCCGCGCCAGTGGCGGTCGGCCGACGCACCGCACGGCCCACGCCTCGCGGCGGGCGGCGGTCGGCGGGCGCACCCCCTCTCGCGGCCGGCGGGCGCCCGGCCGCGGAGGAGGAGGAGGAGGAGGAGGAGGAGGAGGAGGAGGGGAGGAGGAGGAGGAGGAGGAGGAGGAGAGGAGGGGAGGAGGGGAGGAGGAGGAGGAGGAGGAGGAGGAGGAGGAGGAGGAGGAGGAGGAGGAGGAGGACGGACCAGCAGAACGCCCGGGGCCCTCCTGCATGCCCCGCGGACTCCGAGGTCCGCAGCGGCGGCGTGCCTTGGCGCTTGGGCGAAGCCGAGCCCAACAGGCCACGGGACGGCCGAAAGGAAGATCTGAGACTTGCAGCATGGCTGAAAAAAAGTTGCACATCGAGACTTCAGGCACTGTGCTCTGTAGCCTTCCAGAGTTGAGTGGTTGAAGTCTCGATGCACCAAAATTTTGAAATCGTGATTCCAATACTTTTGCGCTTGGGCGCGAAACCCTCTGCCCCCCTCGTGGTCTTCCATCGCATGGCGTCGAAGTCAGCTCTCGGGGGCCACGTGGGCTTCTCACCCGATCCAGGGCCGGTGCACGTGCCACTTCTCGCACACTCGGGGTGATGATGTCTCTGAGGTCGCTCCTCGACATTCTTCGAGCCCGCTTTTGGGAGGGGCCCCCTCTCTCCATGGATACCCTCCGCTTATCAGTGGCTCTCGGCGCTGTACACCCTGCGAAATGCTTAAGAAATCATGGGTTAAGAAATTCATAGTCTCAGAACTTGAGTAAAAACCCAAAAAATCCACTCAAATCTTAGGATTTACATGGAAAAGTTAAGAATAATCGAGACTCTGGACGAAAACTGCAAGTTTTCTTAAGCATCGCCTAAGGTGTAGACAGTGGCATCGGGCTCCATCGCTTCACCCACCTCTGGCGCCACGTCCTGGCGCCAGGTCCTGGCGCTGGTCGCTCGGGCCCTCCGCACGGCCTTGCTGACGCTGCAGCTGATGGTGTTGGGCTCCTTCTCTTCTGCGTAGAGTCAAGTCGGGCGTGTCCCCCCATAGGGGCAGTTTCGACGAAAAATACAACATAGTCAAAAATATTCCAAACATCTCACAAAATGCTCCAAACATAGTCCCCGGACTATTTCTTTATTATCTTGGGGTATTTGTTATTTTTCGTCGAAAATCCCCCTGTAGGGGGACACGCCCGACATAACCGTAGAGGGAGGGCCTGCACGAGCAAAAAAAAAAAAAACACCTGGGCAACCGTGGCCCTGCTGGGCAACCTACCCCGCCCCCCCCCCCCCCGGGCGGGGATGGGTGCAGCCTTCGTCGGGCTTCGTGGCGCCCATCACCACCTTGAGGGGCTCACGCCGGGAGAGCCAACTGACCCTGCCACTATGGGGGTGGGAATGGTTCTGAAAATGACGAGGGGGAGCATAACCAATGCGTACAACAGGAACGCACAATGAGGATGCAAGGGAGGTGGAAGGCCGTGTTGACACTTTTCTAATGGGGCTGGCCAGAGAAATTGCCAAAGATGGTGACACTTTTCGAACGGGGCTGGCCAGAGAAATTGCCAAGGATGGGCCTACGGGGCAAAGAAATGTTCGTTGTGTCACCCGACGAGCGCCGGTACGACGGATTCTTTGTTTATTCGTTTGAAGAGGGGAAGAAGAAGAGGAGGAGAAGGAGAAGTAAGAAGACGAGGTCCAGGGGGAAGCGACGACAACCCCAAACCGCAGAAACGACGAAGCGGAGGAGGTGCCGAAGGGGCAAGGATGCAATGACAACCTTGGAAAAGTGTTCATCCTTACTATGCGTTTGGACAGCAAGAGGCAAACGCTAACATGGATTAGTGATCAGTGGATCTGCGACGCAGGCACGGGGGGGAGCATAATCAGAATCAGCACATCCAGCCCAAGACGGAACGCCACAACGATGTCGTCAGCTTCCGGGTGCGCTGCACCTGCGTTGCGGCTGGTTGCGGTCAGCGCGAGGTGGTTCTGGGCTTCACGGGGGCATGTCCAATGTCTGCTTCGGGAGCGGCCAAGAGGGGGGGGGTCCAAGAGGGGGGGATGCAAATCACGACTGGCGGCATGCGCGCGGCCCAGCGGGGGGGCCAGGGACGCAATGAAACAAGAAGAGGCGCCACGAGATCTGGGGAAACATCATGGCCCCCGCCATGATGCCCACCCCCCCTAGTCATCACCCCCCTCTTTTCCGCCCGCGAGCTTTCCTGCCTGGACTGGGGGAGGGGAGGGGGTAGGATAGAGGAGGAGGAGCCAGGAGGAGGAGGAGGAGGAGGAGGAGGAGGAGGAGGAGGGAGGAGGGAGGAGGAGGAGGAGGAGGAGGAGGAGGAGGGAGGAGGAGGAGGAGGAGGAGGAGGGAGGAGGGGAAGGAGGAGGTCGTCACCCCCCTCTCTTCCGCCCCCGACTGCTGCGACCGCGGCCACGCACGGCCTGCGAGTGCGCCCGGAAGGCCGCACGCTATAAGTTGCGGGTGGCGACTCTCGCTGGGCGAGGCACACCGGCCCCTGCGCGGCTCGACCAGCCTGCCCCGGGCGGCCGCCGCCCGGGCGGACGGGGCCGCGAGCCCGTGGACCAGCGAACCGGGCCCACAGGGCTGCATCCATTGAAGGGGCCCCAGGACACACAAATAAATACACACAAATAAAAACATTCCCCATATTTTCCCATATTTTTTCTGGGCTTTTGTCTTCCCCCCCCCCCTTCCCATATTTTCCCATGTTTTCCTGGGAGTCGGCGATTTTAATTGTGTCTGTGTGTTTCTTTCCCTCCTGATCCATGGATTCACGAAACGCACCCCGGCCCCCCTCGCGTGCATCACAGTCGCTCTCGCGTGGTTTCCGGGGCCGCTCCGCCGGTCCACGTGTTGTCCGCCGCCCACGGTTCACAAGAGAGACTCTGCGCACGAGCCAGCAGCGTGGAGCAGCAGAAAGGGACGAGGGGGGCCCCCCAGTGATGCGCCGAGCGCAATCGATAGAACTGGGGCCCGACGGCTCGGAGGCTAGCGCGCATGGCTGGGCAGGTGGGCCAGGGCACGGGGGCATGGGAGAGGGGCGGGGCAAAGGGCCCGCCTGCCTTGGTGGGCATCCGCGGCCCTGCCAAAACCCCCATTCAATGTTGCGGCGGGGCTTCCACGCAGCCACTATCAGGCTGGCTTTCTAGCGGCCATTCATTGAAGCAGTCGAGCACAAGATGGGTGGTGAAACTGCCCGCAGTCGGTGAAACCCTGCGAGACCGCCACGGTGACAAGACTGGTGCGCGCGACTCTGGGTGGTAAAACTGGCATGCCCCATGCATGCATGCGCACAAGAAATAGCAGCACGAGTCGAAAACGGCACCCGTCGCTAATCCACCTGCCTTAATCCATGCCTCCATTTCCTTGAATATGGGAACGAGAAATGACATAAACATAAAAACTCGGAGGTCTGCGCGGATTTCTTGGACCCGCGCTGCACCCCCCTCCCTGGCGCGCGGAGCGCGCCAGGGGCGGCGCCGGAGGCGCCGCCAGGGGGCCCCAGCGCCGATCCGAGAAATCCGCGCGGACCTCCGAGTTATTGTGTTTATGTCATTGTTCGCTCCCCTATGGAAAAAAAGGGGAGGCAGGAGCAAGGAGAAAGCAGGCGACGGAGGGGCGGCGGGAGAGCGTGCCCCGGCAGCCCTGGGAGCCCCCCTCGGGCCACGGCCACCTCCTCCTCCTCGTCCTCCTCCTCCTCGTCCTCCTCCTCCTCGTCCTCCTCGTCCTCCTCCTCCTCCTCCTCCTCCTCCTCCTCCTCCTCCTGCTCCTGTTCCTCCGCTTCCTCCTCCTCCTCATCCTTCTCCTTCTCCTTCTCCTCCTCCTCCTCCTCCTCCTCCTCCGCCTCCTCCTCCTCCTCCACGTGGATCGCTCAATGTTGAGCGATCTGCACTGTCTTGTGGCGGCGCGCAGGTGGGGACAGTGAAAGGGCAGAGGGCTTCTCAGAAGGAGGCTGCCTGTCAGAAGGCGCTGGCCTTACATCTACAGAGAAGGCCCGCGCCTTCTGCCAAGCAGGGGCGCTTCTGAGAAGCCTTCCCCCCTCCCCCGACCCCCCTCTGCGCGTGGCCGGGTCCTCGGGGCGGGCACAAGGGGGGGATGGCCAAGGGGAGGGCTTGCGCGACCCTGTCGCACCCGCGGAACCATCCCGCCCTGGTGACTCGAGGCATCGCCTTGCTGACGGCGGATGCTTCAGGAGCTGCTTATCCTACCACAGGACTGCATGCAGTCAAAAACCCTAATAAGGACGCGCGGTAAGGACGCAAGACCCTTGGAAGCCGAAGTTGGGATTTTGGGGGGTGGCGGACGACGAAAACCCCAGGGGTACCCTGACAAGCGGGCAAGCGAAAGAGGCCAAGGACGAGCCGCAAGAGCAAGGAAGAGCAAGGACACAAGGGTAACCTGAGCAAAGTCGCGCGTCCTTATTAGGGTTGTTGACTGTATCGGGGTCATGTAAGGTGTTGCTCAGTTTGTCACTGCATTGCCCTGCCCTCGGCTTACGCTTGGCACGCGTGCAGCCTGCCCATGGCTTGCTTGCACTGAGCTTGCCTAACTCAGCTCAACCCGACCTGAGTTTGCCAAGGCCGCCCTGTCTCAGCGTGAGGCTCCACCTGCCCCTGGCCCGGCCAGCGGCAGCAGGCTCCGGGAACTTCTTGGAGTAGATGTCGCGGACGAAGCGGTGGATATTCAGCATCTCCTGAGACGGGCGGCGGCAGCGGCGGGGGCCAGCCTCACGGGGGACTGCCGAGGAGGAGGGAGGAGGGAGGAGGGAGGAGAGAGGAGGGAGGAGGGAAGAGGGAGGAGGGGAGAGAGGAGGGGAGGAGGAGGGGGAGGAGGAGGAGGAGAGGAGGAGGAGGAAGAGGAGGAGGACAAGGACGATGAGGAGGGGGAGGAGGAGGGGGAGGAGGAGGAGGAGGAGGAGGAGGAGGAGGAGGAGGAGGGAGGAGGAGGAGGGGGAGGAGGACGAGGACGAGGACGAGGAGGAGAGGAAGCGGCGGCGGCCAGCCTCTCGACGGTGGCCCCGCCACACCCCACGGAGGACCGCGCACACCGCCGCGGCCGCCTCCTCTGTGCAGCGCCGCGCCAGCCCTCTGCCCCAGCTCCATTCTTGTTCCTAATAATTGTTCCTCTTCCTCCTCTTCCTCTTCCTCCTCCTCCTCCTCCTCCTCCTCTACCTCCTCCTCCTCCTCGTCCTCGTCCTCGTCCTCCTCCTCCTCCTCCTCCTCCTCCTCCTCCTCCTCCTCTTCCTCCTCCTCCTCCAATCCTTTTTCCATCTGAATGGTTTCTCCCTGTCGCACCCCGAGGCCAATTTTTAGCGCGGGCCAGGCGTTTCGCCGGATACTTCCTCGGGTCGGGCGAAAGGGGGAGATAGCAAAGAGGGGGTTTGAGAATCAGCTCACGTAGCTGATTTCCCGGCGCTGGGAGGCGCCCATGTATCGAGGAATGGGCCCCTCGGTGGGGCCGAAACCAGCTGCAAGCAGCAGATTTCGTAACCCCCCCTTTCCCAAATCCCCCCCTTTCGCCCGGCCCGACTTCCTCACCATTTATGACTCTGATGCTTAAAAAAATAGCAACGCTTTCACAGATGGAGGGCGGGTGGTCTTCAAAAGGTGGCTCTCGTCCGAGCGCCACGCACATTCGTTATAAAAATGCAAGAGCTTCACGGATCGAGGATAACCCGTTTTCAAAATGTGGCTCTCGCCTTAGCGCCGCGCACATTCGTTTTAATAGTTTGCAAGAATTTCACGGATTGAGGGCGGCTCATGTTCAAAATGTGGCTCTCGCCGTAGCGCCTCGCAAATAATCTTTAAACTATTGCACGAGTTCCACGGATTCCCACGATCAACGTACCAGAAATAATGTTAGGAAAGATTCAGGATTTTGTGGGTGCAACTGTTACGTTGATTCACGGTGTTGAGATCCCAAGAATGGCGTTCTGGCCGATCCAGGGTCGTCAAGACGCGACAGTCAGGTTGATCTGTGGCGTTGGAATCCCGAGAACAATGTTTTGGCATGCTGCCGGGTCTTCAAACGGTTGTCCCCCAACGAGGCAAATCCCTCAATGGAAATGAACCGCGGTAGGGGCATATGAAGAGGGAGCTTGGAGGGAGGGTGTATTCCGACATCGTCGATGGCTCTTGGCTCTTGGGTCTACACTGGTCCACCTCCTCCTCCTCCTCCTCCTCCTCCTCCTCCTCCTCCTCCTCCTCCCTCCTCCTCCTCCTCCTCCTCCTCCTCCTCCTCATCCTCCTCCCTCCTCCTGCTCATCCTCGGGAGGGAGCTGCGCGCGCGCACCGATCTTGGCCGCGCCCATGCCTGGACCCAGGAGCTGCGCGCACGCCCTCCCGGCTCTTTGCAGGGGCCCAGTGGCACGCGAATCAGTAGAGACAAATCCCAGGAGGCCAAAAACTTCTCCACGCGTCCATACAGGGCAGTTTTTAATAAATTGGATGTTTTTTTCATTCAAAACAAAAAAAAACATTGGACTGTAATACATGACTAATTTAAGACTAAGCTTATGTGTAACCTCGTCGTTGTTTCTCAGACTAAACCCCTGCATGTTTAATACATGATCCACACGCGGAGCATGTTTGAAAAACGGCACTGTAGAGACAAATCCCAGGGTGCCCAAAACTTCTCCACGCGTCCATATGCTTTTGTGCTTTCGTCTTCCCCTCATCTTCCCATATCGTTCCATCTTTTCACAGGAATCAGCGATTGCTGGTGTCTGTGTCCATGTTTCCGTCCTGACTCGTGGGGGTCCCCAGATCCGTGGGGCGGCACACCGCGCGGTGACCCCCGCACCCGAAGAGCCCTCACCGCCTGGGCCCCGGGCATCGCCATCGCTTGGACGTCCACTCCCTGTGCATCTCTCGGTGTCGTGCGTGCGCTCCGTGCTCGAGCCCAGGAGGCTCCTCGATGGTCCTCGCCGAGAAATAGAAGGCACACGCCGGAGCGATGCCAAGGGGAGGGGCCTGGCCAGGCCCCGGTGCACGTGCAAACGGCGCCCGCCGCCTGGAGGGGCGCCCGCAGGGCTCTCTGGCGGGGGCTCGGAGGGCGCGGGCGGGCAGGGGCAGAGGGAAGCCCCACCGTCGGGGGGGCGCACCCGCGGACTGATGCAGGCAGAAGCCTGCTTGGAAGATGGCGCCAGCCGCTGGCGGGAGGAGGAGGAGGAGGAGGAGGAGGAGGAGGAGGAGGAGGAGGAGGAGGAGGAGGAGGAGGAGGAGGAGGAGGAGGAGGAGGAGGGGGGAGGAGGAGGGGGAGGAGGAGGAGGAGGAGGAGGAGGAGGAGGAGGGAGGAGGAGGAGGAGGAGGAGGAACACCGCAGCCACGAGAAGAGCAACGACGCGCGAGCACCGCGGAGCCGAGCATCCAGCGGTCCACGTCGAGGGATTGCATGCCAAGAGCATCGGGGAAGCGCAAGAATCGGGTTCGGGGGGGACTCGGGTCGGCCCGGCGGGGCGATCGGGAAGATGAGGAGAAATCAAACTGACATTTGACGTGATTTTTTTTTTTGTTTTCCTCCTCGGGCCCGGGGCCACTGCTTGTTTTTTTTGCCTATCGTTCATAGTCGAAGAATCCGCCACCCCGCACGGGGTAATGAGTGAAAGCGACAGCAAAATAGATGAACTCAATGATCGTCATACAAGAGGCGCCTGACATTTGACGTGAGGTCCCGCTGCAAACATCCCACGAACACTGGAGCGTCAAAAATTCAGGGCGGGCTCGTCAGAAAAGGTCGACAGACCCGAGCTCAGGGCGAGCAGATCGATGGGGGCGCGGGCGGGGCTCGGAGTTCGACACCGATCCCCGCCTCCGGCGCAGCCCTCCCTCTGCACCAGAAGTCGGAGCTGCCAGACCCTGAAAAATGCTGGTTCCTCCTGCGAGGCGCCCCTCGATCTGACCGCCAGGGGCACGGTGCCGCCCTAGGGTCACGTGTCACCCTGACCTCTGGAAGCGATCTGGGCGACCAGAAGCGAGAGATCTCATGGATCGGTAGTGCAGCTTACTAGAATTAGGTCGGGCGTGTCCCCCTACAGAGGGATTTTGGGCGAAAAATGTAAAATAGTCAACAAACACTCAAACATGACAAAAAAATGCCTTAAAAATCGTCCCAAAACTATGTTTTGACTACTTTTGAATATTCCTCCTGTCGAGGGACAGGCCCGACTGACAGCTTCCTTCGACGGCCCGATGACTTCGGGTGGCCCGCCCCCAGGCCACTGGCACCCTCGACCCTCTTCCGCAGGACCGCCTTCTCTCCTCCCGAGCTGCATTCTGACGCCCCCAGGGCCCGGGGATTGCCCCCACGTAGCCCAGGACTCACGAAGAAAAGCCAACCGCCTCGACCTCTGACGACCTACCAAACCACCCCAACCCCAACCCGAAGACCCGAATTTGACCCGAGTTTCGGGTTGGGGGGGGGGGGGGGGGCGGGGTCCGTGTGTGTTTGTTCCTTGCTCCCCGACCCCCCCCGCCCCACTGGAAATGGAGGGCAAGCGGGGGCCTTCGGGTCGGGCTGGGGTGGCTTGGTGGGCGGCGAGGGCCTGGGAACCGCCCCCACTGAAGGGGCCCAGGGACACACAAATAAACACACACAAGTAACAAACAACAACAAAAAACACAACAACAACAACAACAACAACAACAACAACAACAATCATTTTACCCGAACGCTCAGTGTTCTCCCCAGTGCCAGGGTTTTCTTGCGACACCAGCCAATACCCCCACTTCGTGGGGGGGCCGTTCAAGCTCTACCAAATATCCAAACGACTCTTCGAGACCACCCACACCCAGCTTCCCGCCCTATGACGTTGGGACACTTCACTTCGTGGCGTGCGGACGACCCTGGCTACTACACTGGCGTGGGGTACACACCCACAGAGGTTGATCACATCTGTTACATATGATGTGGTACACGGTACACGTGAGATGGTACGCAGTGCCAAGATAGTTGGTCACATTTTTGGTGCAAATTCGTGGGGTCGGATGAGAAAGTAGTGCGTTTTCATATGTTTTCTGAACATCGCATCTTGAAATTATTGAAAACCCATTGTGTTTGGCAGGATTTCGACATGCGCGCGCGGCGGCCGCGCGCATGTGCACTTCGTCTCATTTTTTGCAAGGGATGGTGGCCCTCGTAGGCTCGCCACCGTTGTTGCAGAAGGTCGAAGCACCTGAAAAGGTTCCTCGCAAAGGCCCTTTTGACAGAAATGTTTAAAATCTGGTGTGTTTCCTAGGAATCCGCAAGAGCGCGCGGAAGGACATTTTGACAATTTTTTCTTAAAAAACCATTTGGTTTTTGATGTTTTTATGTTAAAATCGCTACGAAACCTAAGGTTTTGGAAGGATTTCGTCTTGCGAGCGCGAATGTCCACTTTACCTTATTTTTTGCAAGGGATTCTTGCAATTTGATCAAGTAAAAACAAGAATTTTCATTTTCTATTGTTTTTTGCAAGGGAAAACGAGCGTCAACAAAAAACCGGATCCGGAGCTCATCCACTTTTCTGAAGCTTTCGCGAAAAAATGATGAAAATGTAGCTGCGGCCTAGGCGCGGCGCAGAGGTCGCGCACCAGGGGTCCCAACAATAATAATTCTTTAGAAGGAATAATGTTCAACAACAACAACAACAACAACAATTACTAGCACGTGGGGACACTCCGTTCTCACCAGTGCCAGGGTTTTCATAGGAGGCGG